CCAATAAGACACAAGTTTGTGATCGTGATGTGGTAAAAGATGAAAAAAGTTAGAATGTTTATTAAAATGGTGAACATTTTGTCGCTGACTGAACATGGAGACTCTCTTTTGTTCTAGTCAAAGACTCCAAATGTGACTACCCTGCAGCCTGTAATGCCATGGAGACCCTCCTTATTCACAGAGATTTGCTGCGCACTCCTTTATTCGACCAGATCATTGATATGTTGAGGACAGAAGAAGTAAGAAACAAGCACTGACACCAAATCTGGCCTCCACTAGAAAGGTAGCTTTGTTCTTTGTTCCACTGATTATTGTTGTCTTTCAGGTAAAGATTCACGCGGGTCCTCGCTTTGCATCGTACTTAACCTTTAGCCCGTCTGAGGTGAAGTCTCTCCGTACAGAGTACGGGGACCTGGAGTGCTGCATCGAGGTGGTAGACAGCATGCAGGACGCTGTGGACCACATTCACAAATATGGCAGCTCCCACACTGATGTCATTGTCACAGAGAACGAGGAAACAGCCGAGCAGTTCCTGCAGCAGGTCGACAGCGCCTGCGTGTTCTGGAACTCCAGCTCTCGCTTTGCCGACGGATACCGCTTTGGCCTGGGTGAGCAAAACATTAGGCATGCCTTTATATACCTCCTTATTAATAAACAAAGCCTTCAAGTGAAAAATAATTGATTTTTCCACGTTTCTTTTAAAACATTTTTTATTTAATCACTGCAGGAGCTGAGGTTGGCATTAGCACAGCAAGGATACACGCCAGGGGCCCAGTGGGTTTGGAGGGACTCCTTACGACAAAATGGGTCCTTCGAGGAGAGGGGCACACTGTTGCAGACTTCTCCGAGCAAGGCAGTATGAAATATCTCCACGAAAGCATCCCGGTCCCACAGGGACATATTAATTAGGAGATCTCCCAGCTGGAGCCAAACCAACAGATGTCTGGAAAGAGTTTATTAGAGCCTTGTGTCAAACGGTATAATTTCAACTTCCTAGCTGCTCCTTCATCACCTGTTTGAGTTTTCTATATCAGTGCAGACTTGCAGATGCCATCGGGTTGATTTTTGTAGATTTCCAATTTCCTAATTGTGTGAACCAGTGCTGAAACCTGTGAATCTGAATTTTTCAGTGCATCAACAAAACGTACATTTTGCTAAAGCAACAACAAAAAAGCTGTGCATAATGCAGACATGAAGTAAAGCTCATTTTCCCTTCTATAAAGTCATTTTTGTAACAAGATTTTAAAAAAAATGGATCATTGGCTCAGCTGTGATTTTCTAATTTATTTTTTTACATTTAAAGTCTCCCTTTGTTTTGTAAATCACTGCAAGTACTGTTTGTGCAAGATATTGGTTCTGATTTTTTTTTTTTGCTGTCCTCTTTGCAGAGATAATTTAATAAATATGGTGTACAGTTCTTAAATCATGAGTTTGTACTTTGTACTTATCAGACTATATATAATTGCAAGTACTGTACATTGTTCAATTTATGTGATAAATCAGAACAAAGAACTGCAAAACTGAAGTGGAAGGAAAAATATACAAAACAAAATCTGTGGCTGTTTTTAGCCCTATTAATAACATCTTTAGGATACATTTTACCAAGTAACCTCTTTAATAAATTAAATTACTTAAACCAACTGTTCTGTAGGGCTTTTATTTTTGTTGGAGAACAGTACAGATGTCTATAAGAGATCCTTCCTTCCCACAGCCATCAGCATCTACAACAAAAAGTAATTTTTAGTGAATAAAATACACTGAGCAGTAGTTAAGTGCAAAGTTCTGACCAATCAAGTGCAAAGAGACATGATTGTTAATCTGTTGTAACAATACCTCCCATTTACATGTTACTATTGTACTCAATACCGTGAAATTGTTTGAAAAAGATTAATACAATCTCAATTTTGTGAATATATTAGAGGCATCTATTACAGTGGATTTTAATGTTCTCAGATTAACTCAGACATGGAGTCTTTGAACGCAGCACCTCAGACGCATAGGCTGTGGGCGGAGTGTCCGTCACCGGTTGACCTACCAAACTCATCTGTCAGCTGTGTGTCTACATTGTAAAGATGGCAGGAAACAACTCTTATACTATAGTAGAATATTTTGGAGGGGATGATGGCTACCGCTGCGGTTACTGCAAAAATGATAAGGGAAACTTCTCTCACGGTAGGTTCGTTTGAAGATCTCGAAGAAACGGAGTTGGGCATTTAACTGAGCTAGCTAATGCTAATCACGCTGAGCCGTGTACGTGCTTGAAATAGGTAAAGAAAAAGGGAAAAGGCGATGTGTATTTGAAGTTAATTCTGTACGATTTATTATAATGTCAGTATATGTTACATTTTAATTGTTTTATTTTTTGACTAGACCCTTAAATGAACACTTTCTGAGCGTTAGCTTAGCTTTTAGCCGGTAGCATCCTGTAGCTTTACTCTGAGAAGGAAACCCCCCAAAACCCAGCACTGTCATTCAGTGAAACTAGGCAAAACAGAAGCACATTATATGGTACCTCTGTCATGTTCAACATATTTTACTACAGGTTATTTACGTTACTTCAACAAGTTATTTGTACTCCTGCTAGCTATTGAACAATACCGCCTGAGTAAACTATTTCCTTCGACGCTGTTTCCGTGTTATGTGGAAAGAGTTCGAGTAAGATCATGTTTTCTCTTTGGATCTGTGTCTTTAACTGGAGTGGCTTGTAGAAGGTATCGAACACCCATTAGCTAGAGTGCATCATCAAGCATTTGGTTTGATGTAGACTGCTGCATGGGGTCAGACAAGTTCAGCATGACATAAACAAACGTCAGAGACGTAAAACTGCAGTTACTGTATTTACAACTTGTTATTTTTAAAAATGCATTATCAGTTGCCAAGTAAACAGAGACAGGAGGTAATTGATCAGATCCAGTGTTGCTAAACATTGATCTAAAAAAGAGTCAGTGGGCTGATTATTCAATGGACTTTAATGTGTTTTACTTTAATGCTGTCTATTTTAAGATCTGAAATGTATCCTCTTCAGACTTTGTTGGGTATATTAAGTTTCATTATTATCATGTTTAAAGAGAGGTCAAGTGGGTAATAACTAGTTAGTCGAGGAAAGTTTTTGAAAAAAACAACAAACAAAAACATTTTGGAATAGTTTTGCTACACTTGACTTGTTATAAATTATCACTACTCTTAGCTGAAAGAGATTTGTTGATACCCTTCGTAATGCTAAATGAAGAACAGTGATGTTTTAACCAGAAATCAACCAGACTCACACATATATTTGAATTCTTGTTTATAGACTAACTTTGTTGTTCTATTGTCATTTTCTGTCTGCTTTGCAATTGGTCATGAAGATGCAGTAAGCTCTGTATTGTCACTGGAGGTACTTTCCTCTGGTCCAACATATATAGATTACTTTAAGTATATATTTTATAAGTTTTCTATCGAAAATTTTTGATGTGGAAAATGGTTTCTTCTGCCTAAATGCTATATATTTTTAATGATGTTGTTTGTATTTGTTTCATTTTAGTTTTCAAAATAACAGTTTGCACATATTGATATTGTAATCATGATTGATTTTCAGTGTATTGTGCAGTTCTTCTTCCTATGCTCTGTTATTCTTTTTACATTTGTTGAACTGTTCTCTTGTATTTTCTTTTATTTTGTCGGCCTTGACCACAGTGTGAACATTTTTTGCACCTGAAGTAGACCATACACATGTTGACACACATACTTATCAAACCCATCTTTCACAATCAGCACAAATCTATATTCTCTGGTTATTCACCTTTATGTTTTTTTAGCTGGAAGCCGCAACAGATTTCAGATTATTACTTTTTTTTTTTTTTTAAGTTTTCTGCTTATTTTCTTCTGTTTGTGTAATTATATTGTGGTTTTCCATCTTTAATCTCAACTTTAATCTCAAGTACATTACCATGAAAAATGCATACAAACAGTCTACTACCAAAAGGTGCATGTTTTCCTGAAACTGAATGGGTTATGGGGCATTAATATTTTAAAACAACAAAAAGTAAAGCAGATGTGATTTTTTTCCTTCAGGGCAGAATGGTGGTATTAATTATAATCAGGTTGACTATACTTAGGTTTCAGGCAGCTCCTAATGCAGTCAATGAGCAACTGGGTACAAAGTCTGCAGACGATAGCTGTGATCTAATCCAAGAGTGATAATCTGGGTAGGTAACGTCATGGAGGCATGGGAAAGCCCCAGGAAGTCAGAAGACATGAAAACATTCTTGCATGAAACATGAATTTTCTGCATAACCCAAGGAAAAGATGTGTAGTCAGTTTGTCTTCAAACTGACTATAATTTTCTTACATTTTTATGGCTTTTGTGTGATATTATGGATGTAAAGAGTTTATTTTCTGAGGAAAACATACAGATTTTAAAATATGGCAGTGATTATCAGATAACTGTGTATGAACAATTTGTCTTTCCGTATTCACTGTTTCATTAGTTTCCATCACTGTGATTGGTTGGATGATGTTATCAAGGCTTCTGTTGTACACAAAGCACATCTCACTCTGCAGTACAGAGCCCAACATCTGCTGCTATTGTGTCTGTTTTGCTTCAGGGAAAAGTGAAGAATGGATCAGGTGATTGTTTTGTGCTGCAGGAACAGCAGCTTTTTTGTTCACATCAGTCGCATGTGAGTTGTTCAGTTTTACCTTTACGTTCTGCCACAACCGGCTCTTTCGTGATCTTAATGTGGCCTAAAATGAAAATGAGTTTGACACCTTTGTTTTAAAGTGTAACCCCCCTGAGAAAGCAAAACCTCGCCCCTAATAGATTTTGAAAAATTCCTCCAAACTGAGCAGAGCCAAGAGAGACCCCGCCAAATGTGGGGATAAAGCGAAGGGGTGTGATCAGAATGAAGGATGCACTGTTTTCAGTATGTTGTTATATTTTTTGACTTTTCAGAGACCTCTAGTAATTTGGTTTTTTATTATTACTGTTTGCTTTACAAAAACCCGCAGAGTGGTAAATCTATTAACTTTCTTTCTTTGTTGTTGGAAACTTTTATGGTGAGAATGCTCCAGTTGAGCAGCACCAAGTTCCAGCAGCCGAACTTTTGTATCCGTTTGCGTTGACTGGTTTGGTTTGGTAGTTTTCCTTTATTGAATCACTCTATGTTCTCCCAGTCTCTGTGGACACAAATTAACCCTATTCTCCTGGGACGTGAAGCATTATACTCATTACAAATGTGTGTGTGTGTGTTGTGAACTGTGATAAAGGCCAGTTCATTTGGCTGTTCCAGATGTAAATTGATAGTTGACTGTACAGACTCACAGATTAGGGTGTGTGTGCTTGTGCACATGGTTGTTGTGTGTTAATAAAAGGTCAGGATCCAAATCCCAGCGGATCTGCTCTAGCTACAAATAACAGACTTGTATGTTTCCATTGGGGCTTTACAGCACTGTGGGAAATTGGGACTGGATCGTCAAGGAAAATGTGATTTAAGATGCAATAAATATTTTTTCCCCAGTGCTCCATTCTCAAGGAGCTCTTTAATAAATTAGTCTGTTTTATCTTTGTGCTGAAAACTGTAAAACGGTGTTTAAATTCATTTGACCTTGTTACAATCAGTTTTATAAATTCATTTCTCTTTTTTTTCTGTAACTTTAGTCAGATAAAACTGCACACCATTGTGTATAATAAGCAATAATTTTATTGTGAATTATTGATACTAAAGTGCAGAATCTTTTCTAAATGGAGCTTTTCTTTTCATTCACATAAAATATATTAAACATCTTGACTGTGATTACTTTGAACAATGTTTACTCTTATTTAAAAAAAATGTTTTGTTTATTCTTTGTATTTTTTTATTTTTTATTTTTTGGCAGGAATGTGGTCTCATTCTATGACCGTACAAGACTACCAAGATTTAATTGATCGGGGATGGAGAAGGTACGTTCATTATTTGTTTTATATCGAAAAAGTTTTACCCTCATCCCACAAAAGCTTGGACATGTATTCAAATAAAAACCAGTTTTACTTCATTTGTTTGTATCTTTATTGCAGTTTTATTTGTCTCATTGGGTGTTTCTGGGGTAGCTTTGCTTCCATTTTATTTGTTTGCTATAAGAAGTCATTTTTGATTGTTAAGCTGCTGCCTGGTCTTATTTTTTACTCATGGGTGTAAAAGCCTTTGTAAATAAAAAAAATATTAATTGGCCATTTAGAAGTAAATTTCTGCCAGGAAAACTTAGAAATTTGTAGATTAATTTCACATATTAAAAAGAAGATAACTTATTCTTTTATGTCAGTCATTTGCAAGTTTCCAAAAAAAAATCTCAATTTTTTGTCATTAAACACATAAATTTACAGTATCAAAGCAAGATATATTTTCAGAATTTTTCTGAGGTTAGAAACTCATTTGCCAAAAAAGAAGCAGAAGTCGACTATAATTGAAGGTGTAAATGTTGGAGATGCACATTTGGATATTTCTGGGTATACACCCAGGAGATAATCTGATATGAAAAAAAAACGGGATCTACCCCTTATGCTTTGGGAAAAAAAACAGATGCTCATCTCCTAAATTTACTACTTTAATCGTAGAGGAATTCTGTTCAATTTGTTGTAAATGTCTGATTTTATGTATCTTGTTTCTTTATTTTGCTTTTCATGTTTTACCTTGGTAATTTGATTTTGTTTTCTTTTGGTTGATGTCTTGTTATTTTCTCTTTAGTCTAAGTAGTATCTATTTTTCAATGTACACCATGACCATCCACTGTGGTTCATAATTTAGGCATAAGCTTGAATTTGACTCTTTTGCTCTTTTTGCCTGAGATGGACGATCCAGTCAGTAATCTGAATGCTTGTCTTCTCCTTTCACCTGCTATTCTGACATATCAGTGTAAAGTCTTTAAATAGAGAAGATTGACTTTAACAGTACAGTTTTGTTTTTCAGAAGTGGGAAATATGTTTACAAGCCCATAATGAAGAAGACATGCTGTCCTCAGTATACCATCAGGTAATTCTTTTCATTAAGCATTCACATTACGATGCACTACTCTGGTAAATATTTGCGTTACAAATATTTACCGATCCAGAGAACAGCTGGAATCAAATTTATACATACACTGCCAACTATTTTTCAGTTGTGTCTCTAAAAAACTGCACCTCTGGATGTTTAGATGCTTTTTTTTGGCATAATTATTAAATTGCCTTTTTTTTCTTGGCCCAAACTAAGTTTTTAATCATAATCTGTTTTGGGCTGGGTATTCCAGGACGTTAATGTTTGCACCTCTTTATCCATTCAGAAGCTAGTTTTAAGGTTGTCGATTTCTTGTGGTGTTGAAAAGATTTTGAGACAGCCACAGTTTTTCACTATTCCTTACCCTTTTTGTGATGCCACTACCACTGGCTAGCCAAACAGACCCTCAGCATGACGCTACCACTGCCGTGTCTGAAAGTTGAACAGTGTTCCAAAGTCTAAAAGCTTGACTTTCCCAAACATTATTCTTTTCACTGAGCTCAATCTTCATTTCATCGTTAAAGACTCTCATTAAAAGTTTCTCCAGAAGGCTTTTAGCTTGTTCATGTGGCCTTTTACAAATTTCACACGAGCTTTAAAGTTTGGAGGGGCGGCTTGTTTGTTGGGTTAGTACACTCTGTCCATGGCAAAAGTGACTTGACTGTGGAAAATGACTTTGTTGTTCCCTATTATTTAGGGTTGACAATTTGGATCAGATGGTTGAAAAGTAGACCCATTTGCATGTTCCAGCTGGATAATAAGGCCAAACACACATCAGATGTGGTTTTGCAATAAATAAATCAGGCTAACATTAAGCTCAAGAGTTGCTCAAACCTCAGCCTATACAAAACTGTATCGGCTACACTAAAAAGCCTTGTCAATGCAAGGAAACCAAGCCATTGAAATGAGCGCTGCCATTGTTCTACTATTCAGCCGACTTTATGATGACTGCATGTTATATATTTATTTATTTTAGTTTAGCCACGACTTGCTAAGGGATGTTGAAATTTCTTGTGTTTATATTTGGGCCTCAGTGTGTAATGATGACAATGTGTAGATAAGAGAAAGTCTACCAGACATTAAACTTGGGCACTAAGTTATTTATTTTAAAACCACTAAAGAAATACACCAGTAAAAGCACAAACTGATGTTAATCTTGGAGAGGAACTGTCCACCCAAACTGAACATTTCTAACTTTATTTGATCTTTTCTGCCTCAAGGTGTCATGCACTGAATTTCCAGCCTTCTAAATCTCATAAGAAAATCCTGAAGAAAATGAACAAATATATTTCTAAAGGAGACCTGCCTGCAGCTCAGGAGGATGGTAAGAAGGTTGCTCCTGCATGCACAGAAAATGTTTTGTAAATGTATGAAAAACATTGGGGTTACTGGTTCTGGGTTTGTAGTACACGCTAGTTGCATAAATGTTTTGTTTTATGTCCTACAGGGGAGCCAATGGATTCTGTCTGTGAAGATGCTGGTCCACGGGAACCTACTAAAGTCTGTCAGTCAGATTTAAAAGTTGCTGCTCGCGCAGATATTAAAAATGAAATACCAAACTGTTCCGCTGCTGAAGAAGTTCAGAAAAACTCGGTGGATTCTACAGCTGGAAGCTCAGAAAATTCCCAGAATGATTCAGCTTCTGTCTCAGAAGGGGGAACAGATGCCAAAGCTCCTAACCCAGGTAAGAAAAAGATGCATAGCTCTTTTTAAACAAACATAATTCCCATGAGCCAAACTTTTACAATTTTAAGTTGATAGTAATTGAGGGCCACAAAATAATAGATTTTTTAAACTAAAATTTCCCCCCAAAATTGTTAAATGTTTTGTTTTTATTTGCACAACATTTTCATAAAATGAAGAAGTCTGATTTCCATAGAAAGCTGAACTGTAGATTATTGTAGATCTGAAACATAAAATCTGGGAGGTTTGTCTTGTTTAAAAATCAAAAACAAACAGCTACAAAGCATCCTTAATGATGAGTGTTTTTTCTGTTATCTTTGGATCTGAGCAACATTTATAGCATATAGATCAAAAGCATTTGCTTTATCTAGTGGAGTTTACTAAAAGGATGCATCATGTCAGTCCATGAATGAGGGTCACTGAATGTTTGTGGTCCCGTTTATGATTAAATTTAATGAAATGAGTACTTTGTGTTGTACCGTTGATATTTATGAGACTTTATTTTGGCTATATCTTTTTCAAAAGGCAGTGAAATTTTCACTGTAAGATTTATCTGCATCAACCTCCAACTTTGAGCTGGAAAAACAAGTTTGTGCCATTTTTGTATTGCAGTGGACGCCCACATAAAATCACTTTGAGGGCCACAAATGGCCCCCAGGCAGCACTTTGGACACCTCTCTTATAAAGCATTAAAATGTAAGAAAATCTTCATGTTCTGTAGCTTTTTCTAGCCATTATGGACTCCTGCTGTGCCGTTGTTCTGCAATATTTTATTTCCACTGCCTTCCAGAAGGTGTCACTGTTCACCAAGCTGCCCCTCTCTGCAGCAGTTTGGACGCAGTTGAGCTCTCCCCTTCGTTATTAGGAGATTGTCTGACTTGGACTTGTTTTTCATATTCCTCTCGTCACTTGGCCAGCACAGGATATCCTCATAGCCAGCTTTCTGTAATGAATCAACAGTTCTCAAGTGGGGGAGATAATAAACTCCCTCTAGATACAGGAAGTAGAACTTTTGTTTCCAAAAACTTAATGAGAGCAGCTCCCAACGCAGGGGCAGGATGGTTCTGAACAAGCTGAGCTTTTCGCAGACATAAACATTCAGTGAGAAATTGCAGCAGTGGCAGCGCTGTTGTTCCACTATGCCTGTGTCAGCACCAGTCTTCTCTGAGCTACAGTGTCAGGAATAACAAGCCTTTTCAGCAAAGCGGAAACAGGAGGATTTACTGCCCACCCCGCTACCCCTGCATTTACCTCCAGCAGAAAACACCTGGTCATATATTTCCTCAGCTTTTATTACTAGAGGCTTTATACCTTTAGGGAGGATCCCGTTCCAGGTTGAGAAAACACGACTTCCCATACCTTAAATGCAGACAGGGGTCTCAAAGGAATGAGCCAATACAGAAATGTAAGATTGTCCTGTTTTAATTACTGTAGAAAGTTTCTTAGGTAGACAGAAAATGACTCACACTTGGGTTTTAAGCAGAAACCCAAGTGTGAGTTTTAGTAACTCTGACATTGGACAACCTGGATCATCTTTCCAGTTTACATACAAAACAGCTGTATTTGAATTACATTTACACTTTACAATCAGTGTATCTTGTTTAATTTCCTTCAAAATGGACGATGACTATCCCAGATTTTATGAAGTGTTAACTGCAGGACTGAAAACATCCGTCTTGAACAGGAAGTAATCTGCCAGAGTTTATCTTCACTGCAGCTGTATTCTTTATCCTCAGGAGTAAACATGTCTCTGTGTGATATTAAGAAGGAAAGTATCTGTTATTGATGAGGGTGTAGCGAAACAAGATTTGTGCACTGACAACTTCGGTTCAATTGGATCAGAAACAGGCAGCGTAAAGATGCGCTTCAAGATTCAGCAACCCACCAAACAAGCAATCATTTGCTCTTCAGAAGACAGCATCTGCTTTAAAGTAGGAACTAAACTGCCTCTTCTTCATGACATCATCAGAGGGGAAAGCTCGTCAGTGGGCTGATGTTGGCAGCTGGCAGCGGTGCAAGCAGGATACGACTATCACTTCCTTATTGCTCCAAACAGGATGCGGGGGTGTAAACTGTTGACATGGGATGCCCGGAGTCCTACAGGGCTTGGCAGGAGCCCAAGACGTTGTAGTGGTGGGGACGGAAAAGGGGGGGGGGGACACATAGAAAGAAAACAGTTTGTGTGCATGAAAAACAAAACTGTTTCCATTAGCTTTCTTCCTGTAAGGGATAAACTCATTTTAGTTATGATGACTTATGCTTCTTAGTAAATACTACATACCTGGTAACCATCTGGACTTTATTTGCCCATTCTTTATTGCTTTATAACAGTTCAGAAGCTGCAACAATGTCCACAACACATAAAACAGCCCGATGGTCAGATATTCAGCACAGTTTTAGGCTGAAACCAGAGATGCACAGATCAATTGACTCCGTTCAATTTAGTTTAATTATACGGTGCCAATTCACAACATGTCACTTGACATGTCATCTTAAGTCACTTTTTAAAAGTTAATTTAATCTTAGTTATTAAGTTCAAGCTTAGTTTATTCATCAGAAATGTTTTCTGTCTATGGAAACTTGGGATATTGCATTGAGTCACTGACTTGCAGCAATCCCTCCTTCAGACAGAGCAGACAAACAAAAAGGAAACGGAATCACAGATCCAAGATTACTTTCTGTTAGAGAAAAAGTAAGAAGTAAAAGAGAAATACAGCTAAAGAAATTAGTTTTTAGCCAGTTTTCAAACGTGTAGCTAAATAGAACAACAAACTAAATGCAGCTTCTATGAACAGAGGGAAAAAAGTAAAACATTTAAATGACAGCAAATGCAAAAATTGGAGAGTACTAGGAGAATGCAGTGTAGTTATAGTTTTTCTCTTTAAAATTATAACGAGTTCCTGTAGAGCAGAGCTTTACTACAATTTTATCTAAAAAGAAAATGTTGACCGACTTGAGATTTTAAACTGTTTTTTAGCACCTTGCTAGTAGTTAGCTTGTTTAGCTATTGTAACTTGAAACAGCAGCCTCACTGAGTATTCGCTACAGGTCGTAACTCTTGTCTTAACACTGAGATTTCCTTAAAGCTTGCCAACATTTCCAAATCCAAGACGTTCAAGATGTTCCATGAACAGAGGTTGAAAGCTCAACATGCTTAAAAAGAGCAGTTGCTGAACTCTCACTTCGTTAAATAATAGAAGCCTAAATTAACAGTCAACATGCTGTTTCCTATTAAGTAGCCGCCACACCTCACTGACACAGAAAATAGGCAACTTTGACTCTGCTTCACTTGGTGGCAACTTCAACATGGAAGAGTGCTGCTGTGGATGGCAGCTATGACTGGAAAATCTAGATTTTTTTCTTTTGTGTGTGTGTTTCCACTCAGTTACCAGTCAGAATCGGTCAAGCTGAAAGTCACCCACTTCTTTAGAAATGCTTTTGTGTCACTTTTTAGAGTGATAAATGTCAATGAGTTTGTTTTGCATTTGTTCTTGATGATTTGTTACTTTTGGAAATATTTTAGCATGCTTCATGTTGTCAGGTTCTGTTTAAGTGGTTTCTAGATTTTACAGGTCTAGAAGAAATTAGGTCTTAGCTTTTTACATTAAGTGAAATCCTCTTTTGAAAACTCTGTTCTGCAGATATCCATGAAATTTTTGCCTGACACTGAAAGTAATTCAGAAATAGAAGAACTCTGTATGAAGCAAATCCTTTCCCACAATCACCTGAATCTGCTCATCAGACTAATTCCAGTTCTAGTCTCATACTCCAGTTTTGTTTTGATAGTCATTCTTTCTCTTCTGGCACAGGGTTGGGAGCAGATCCTAGCCGTCCGCCCAGCAGAAAGGCCAAAGATTTAAGAAAGGAGCGTCGTCTTCAGAAAGACCAGAAAAGACAACATGGTGCTGGAGTCTCGCCACCAAAGCCTGCCCATACTAACCAACCCAAAACACTGGAGGAGTTCATCAACGAGTCTTTAGAAAACAGCTCCTCTGATCGCCTTGAGGTGAGCAGAGTTTTTAAAGCGGCCTGTTTTTGTAACTTGGCTTTATTTTGCGTAAAGAAATGACATTCTTTGGTTAAAGCCTCTTCCTCGACCACAGTGACTTCACCGTGTGTTTATTTGCGCGGAAGCAATAGCTGAGTGGAAAAAGCAGATCTTCCTAGATCGAATTCAACAAAACGACAGGCACACCACAGAGACCGATGAAACTTTAGATGACATTGAAACCACAGTATTTAGCAGAACCATGATGCAAAGACATGGAAATAAACTTTCAGGAGGAAGCATGTTGATGTAGAATGATGGCTGGCAATGGCTTCTGACCGAGGTTGGTAGCATAACGTCAGTTTTGGTCTGAAGCAGATTTAGAGCCAGATGCTGCAGCGAAGCAGGCAGTGAGACCATTTCCCAATCAATGCATCTATATTGGATTAATCTGTTAGCCTGCATTAATCATTTAATTTCACTAAATGAATGTGCAAGGTTAGGCTTCTCAAATGAAGGTTAATTAAAGGCGTTAGCGAGGCTTTTACATGATCAATACTGCAGTATAAATCAGATGTAGTGAAGCAATATTAGATTTCTTTCTTTAAAATTAAATACGCTTTTAATCAATTTAACTGATTTTTCTGGATCTGTGACTCATTTTAGTGCTTTTCAACTAACTTTGACCTTGAAGAGTTATTTTATTAATGTTTAAATTTTCATTTTTCAAGGAGTGATGATAAGGAAGGCAAAATAAAAAAAGTCTCCAGAAAATTTATCAAAGTTTTTTTTGGCAGCGATTGTTCTACTGTGAAATAATGTGAATTTGACTTGAGGCTTTTAAGTCTAATAGTAACAAGGAATGTGGAGGACACTGTTTGAAAAATAAATCTTGAGAAAGAATAGGAAGTTGATATCATTGCTTTTATTTATGCGTTTGGTTTTAAGTCCATAACAAACTGAAAGCATCTGGAGGACTAATATATAGATTTACAATCAGCCTATTTGTTGTTTTCAGGTCTTAAAAGCCGGTGCGGTTTTATTTTCCACCACTAGGGGTCAGTATAGCAACATCAGAGATGTTTTAGCTTCTGAAGGAAACTGTGGAACATTCCACAGCATTATCATCAGAGCCGCCCACTATCTTTGGAGTTTAATCACTTTTGATAAATCTCTCTTTGATCAGTCATAGCTGGGCTTTTTCTGCAATATGTACACAAAACGTCAGTTTCACTGTAGGATAAATGATACTGTAAAATAAAGCCTCTCCCTGTCAGTAAAGTCAATTTTGAATGATAATAATAAATGTTTAGGATTATGTGAGTCAAGGATGTAGTTAATTATATGGCTTCTATGTCCAGTAGACTCGGTGTTTTGGTTTGGCTACAAGGTGAAGATGGCAAGTGTTCACATGAGAAAGTCGGTATTCTATCCAAGCCAAACAAACCTCAAGTTCAGTTTTGGATCCTGTTCTTCTCAGATATTCATATGGCAACATCTCTCTGGCCAACAAAAGCTTCCAAACAAAGAGGCGCTTAATTAAAAAGGGGAGCCACAAGTTGAGAAAGCAACACTCAGACACGTCTCTTTCCAAAAATCTTGTCCTGATTTTCTTTTTCTTTTCTATTTAGTCTAATTCTTAACTCTCCAATAATTTTGATTAAACAAAAAAATAGGCTGTGGATATTAGCATATCATAGACTGTTAAAAAATATTACTCATTGTTTGGCAACTTCTTTTATGGAGGTTATAAGTCCTGCATTAGGGTCTTATCCCACTGAAGCTTTAAAACAGAACATTATGTTCATGTATTTTATCTGTTTGAGACTTATACGATTGTGCTTTCTGTTGCAGAGCGCTCCTACCCCAAAGTATGCTCCACTTTAGGATCTATTATACTGGGACCAGATTTTAAAATGATTATCCATTCTGATTTGAAAGTGCTTCTTGTGGAAACAAATATAATTGAAAATGTGGTGTATTATTTGGAGTTCCCTATAAAATGCTCATTTTAAATCAAATTACTCATCTCAACCAGTTATTTAAAGAACATTAGTTTGAAAGTTTTACTGGATTAACTTCCATTTTATGACTATGGGTCTATGAACAAAATAAGATTATTATGTCTCTATTATTGGGTTGAGTTGATATGTTTTGGCATCATAACTTTAATAGCCTCAATTGTAGCCTCTTTAACATAAAAACATTGTAAAATGCACCTTTTAAAAATTTTTATTTGACTCATGGTAGTTATTTTGATGTTGATTGTTATTTTTTTAGGACACTGTAAACCTCTATTTTGAAAGAGGCTATATAAGTAGCTTTTCACATATTTATTTACCATAGTTTAATAAATTTACAGCGAAACATGATCAGACAATTCATTCTTATTGTTAAAGTAACTGCCTTTCCTTAATTGTTTTAGTTTTGAATTTAGAAATATAACATTAGATACAGCATAAATTCACTTGATGTTCGTCAACTTATTAGTAAGCAGTTAGTCGCATGCCGTTGTCAGTTTCATACAAACACATTTTGATTTCAGTCAAAACTGAACAACATGGTGAAGTCACTGAGTTGAGCTCATGCTTTTTTTTTTTTTTTTTTTTTATTTATGATTTTCTGTCATGTACAGTCTGGTTGAAAAGAAAGCCCTCCTCCTTCATCAGTTCTGGATGTATGTAGTACAATTAGGCAAACCACATTCATTGGGTTGATCATGTAACTGAGTTATAGAGAGACTGTATTGGTGTTTAATGCCATGTAAACATTCTACTTATTCAAGTTCTATCTGCCCACAGTTAAATGGAAATGTTTATAATTATTTGTTTGGCAGTTGCTTTTAACCAAAGTGACTTAAAAATGAGGAAATGTATAGAACTACATCAAAAGCTGATTAATCAATGAGTTGTTGGAAAACAGAGAGTTAACACACTAATGATGGAACAACACTTCAGTGAGCTGTTCTTCAGGGAAACTATTGATAATATCAAGATATGTTTTGGCATAGAAGTCAGATTTTGTCAGAAATGCACAGCAAAAAACCCTTCATGTTACAGCATAGAAAATATATAATGCTCTGGAATTTAAAGAGGAGGGGGTTGCTTTCTTTTTACAGTGAGTGTACAACAAGCGACTACATTGCAATTTTCTATTTTGAATGTGAAATGCTTTAATTCGACATTATAACTGTTGAATTAGCTCTGAAAGATGTGCCAAGTCTGCTACTTGTAACTGTTCACTCAAACTTTCCCTACTTTTTTTATTTTTAATTGTCCTTTATTGCTTTTTAATAACCTCTCATGTTTTTTTTTCCATCACTCTTTATTTTTCTGTGTGGAAGTTAACCCTTGTCTGCTGATATTCTTTTTGAAGGTGAGGCTAGTGCGCTCCAATCCCCCTAGCCCGCAGTTCAAAGCCTCTTTCGACGCCTCCTACCAGGTGTACAAACTCTACCAGATGGCCATTCACAAGGATCCTCCTGACAAACCCTCCGAGAGCCAGGTCAGCGGGTGGTGGGCATAGGTCAACCCTCATCTACCCAGAGATGGAGGGGCAGGGAGGGTTTGGCAGTTTCAGCGATACATCTGAAGCTCCTTTCTAGATTTATCTTTTGGTATTAACATATTAGAAGTTCAGATCTGTCAAATTATTAAAATGTAAAGTAAGTTTAGTACAATTAATTGATTTAAATTTGAAAAGGTGAAATCAACAAAATAAAAAAAATAAAAAACCTTTTCTAGAAATTCTAACTGAAAAATAAAAAAAAATTGAGAGGAAAGACAAGTTTTTAGGGGAAAAATAACCTGAACACAAAAAACTGTTTTAAATGTGGATTTTGCTAATAGAAAAAAGAGCTATCCAAGCCAACCTTGCCCTATGTAAAAGTATAATAAATCCCCTGGTTGTTTCACAAATTCAGTTACCCACAAAAGCTGAGCTCAAATTCATTTACCACACCCACTGCCCGCCCCGCAGATTTGCCAGGACTCTTCTGGAAAAAGAGGTTTTAACCTCAAAGGGACTTTCCTGGTTAAATAAAGCTTAAATAAAAATAAAATGAAAAGAATCGAGAAATAAATAAACAATATAAAGTTTAAGGAAATTCAAGAACTGATGAGACATTTTTTGATATGTGGAAAGGATTACAAAGCAATTAAGAAGACGAGACTCCAGAAAACAGTGGAACATTAAACAATGTGTATATTAGGACTTCTCAAAATTACTCTGACAACATATTAGCACCACATGCAGGAGGTCACATATAAACTTAGAACAACATCTTAAGCTCTGCAGGCTTCACCTGCCTCCTTTATAATCAGCATTCATGATTCAACAACAATAAAGAGACCAAAAATGTCGTCCATTGGAGAGTTCAAAGGTGCAGGCGCTTCAGGTTCTTCAGGACCTGGTTGAATTGCAGTAACTGATGAATCCATGAATTGGTTTTAGGTTATGCAGCTTGACAGTGATCCAAAGTGCACCAACTAGACCAAAGGTTGAAAGGATTTGGAGTGACCTACTTAAAGTTAAATCTGATGGAGATGCGGCAGCATGCCCTTTAACAGGCTGTTCCTGCTCAAACAACCTTAACAGGGGCTGAAATTAAACACTGTAAATGAGAATGGGCCAAAATTCCTCTACTGCCACGTAAACAACAAATTGCTAGTTATTACAAACCAGGGGGCGGCACAAGCAGTTAATGTTTAGCAGGGAAGTTGTTGGCACACAACCAGGTTGGTTTGGATACAAGTTTTTACTCAATAAATTAAATGATATTTTAACTAAAAAAAACAATCATTGTTGAGAGTGGTGTTTGTCTAAATGTGTTTCTGTATGAGGGTAGTAACTTAAAAACTCTTAAACTTTGTGCCTTTATTCAATAGTTCTTCGTATCCAAACTACAATCAGGTTTTAATTTCTTTGCGAGTGCATCTACACTTACGCTGGTGTTTTTTGATGGTCATTATGGGGGTCTCTGGTTTTTAAGAAGAGGATGTTTCGGTCTGTCTGCTGTGATCTCTCCAAAAATTTCTGCTGTCCTGGACCATCGACACCGTATTGCGTCACGGGTTTCTCCGAGCGATTTGAGTGAAAAACTGAGTAGTGCACTAGCCTCATCCTCAAGTTTCTCATCAGTCTCTTAGAATTTGATTTCAAGCTTCTGTAGAAGTTTGCCTTGTGCAAAACTTGCTAACTAAAATGCGTCTAACTGCATAACCACCTTGCTCAATCACTAAGACACTGTTGCCTATCTAAAGATACCAAAGCGCTTGTTTGCTAACTGTGCATCCCTTCATCCTTGTTTGTTTGTTTTGTAACGTCTTTCCTAATTGTTCATCGTCTTCAAATTTATTGTCAATCCTCATAAACCCCAAACCCCTCCACCTTGTCTCCTCCACGCCTTGTGCTTGAAGGTGAGGCTAGTGCCGGTGAACTTTGAGGACCCCCAGTTCTCTGCGTCGTATCAACAATCGGCGGCGCTGTACGCCCGCTACCAGATGGCCATTCATGGTGATGATCCAAGTGAATGTAGAGAGAGTGAGGTACTGCATGTATAATATCCCTCACCTAATTGGAGGTTACTGTGGATGCTTCTAACAGTATCCTGCTGCTTCATTTTTATTTTCACTTGTATTTCATTGTAGATTGTTGGTATAAACAGGCACTTTAATTAGGGCCAACTATGGACAGAATTATATTAGCCATGAGAAGTTCAGTTTGTGCTGATAAGATGGTAATAAGAAGGTTAGAGACTTTACCTTCAGCACTTTCTTGCAGATATCACACCAAAAAAAATGTTTACAAATCAATGAATTTATTAATCTCTTAATCTTGAAACATACTTTAACCTCAGGCAATTTATTATTAAAATGGGATTTAAAAAATCCCTATGTTTGGCATAGGAGTGTCTGGTGAATAGCCTCTAGGTTGATCTGGCATGAGGTATGGTAGAGTTCCACATAATCATCCTTTGCTGCCTTTGTACGCCTGATCTTCTTGGGATGTTTTTTATCAATCTACACTTCTATGTTTGTGATGGTAGGAGAGTGATGGCGTTTTCAGCATCACTCCCAAACAACCAGTTGACATGTAAATATAGACTAATGGTTTCTCTGAACACCATAGATTTTCTTTTTATATAAATATTTTTTTACTGTCTTTACCTTCCTACTCTCTTTACAAGACATTGTTTATGCTGATATGAGTTACTGAAAAAACTTCTAAGTTTAAATTAGAACACTGTTTCAATTTCATTTAATTTGAAGGTGTTTTAAGTGGAACTAATAATTGTAACATATAATGTTGTTAAAAATAATAATTTCCTAACATTTGACATTTTTCCCCACTGCAAAAATGTACCCAAATCCAAAGTTGTACTTTTGTATTTTGTGTGTGTGTGTGTGTGTGTGTGTGTGTGTGTGTGTGTGTGTGTGTTATGACGCTACTAAGTAAAATCTAAATTTTTGTTGAGACTTCTACAAATATTTATCAGGGATAATAAATGTGGCTGACACTTAATAAACAGTTCAAGCTTCAGTCAATATATTTCTAAAGCTTAGATATAATTAAGACACAGAAAACCATATTGTGACTTATTTGGTGTGTAAGTTGCAATATAATTTATTTCTGTGTAAAATTAATCTAAAAGCTTGTCCAAGATGCAGAAATCCCATCCAACCTAAGTGGGCCTTTTATCCCTCTAGGGTGGAAAAACAACCTTCTCCACCCTTTTGCCAACAGGCTGCGGTAAATATACAAAATTCTACAACTTGTAAAAGTAAGGTAATTAATAAATAATGAAGGCTGTCAGACTGGGCAGACCGTGTCAGATTCCTGTCTGGTGCCATAGCACTAACTCTATTAAAAGGTAGCATGTGTGAATAGCTGCAGCTTGATATATATGTAACATAAAGGTGTGGAACTGCATAAGTGACTCTGCTCCCTGGAGGTTTTTTGCACAGATTTTTTTAAAATTGGTTTTCCATGTTGAATATGTTCTGCATATAGAGGTTTATAAAGTATGTGGTGAATTATGGTTGGGTTAATTTCGCTTTAAAGAAAACCTATTCATTTATAAGCCTGAGGTGTAGCTTTTATAGGGGACTATTCATTCATTCTGTTTACGTAATATTGACCCACTTTCAGTGGGACGTGTAGAGGTTTTAAGGTGTGTTTGCACTGCAGGAATATTTTTCCAAGAATATTCCTGCAGTTCTTTCATCTGCAGGAACCAGGTCCGAACTAGGTTAGTGAAATAAATTTATGACAGAGATTGGCCCTGTTAGGAAGGTTGTATTTTCAGTATAAACCAAGGATGGAGTTTTGTGGTGGTACTTTGCTTAGCATTTTTTAGTTCTTGGACATTCCCAGTATTTTGTTTCAGTATTCTATCATTTTAAGTCTTTGAAAACTTTTTTTTAATGCAGTACCAGTAACTGGTTGATTTGCAAATGCAGCATTTAAAGCTACTCAGTCAAGTTGGACATAATTGTTTTGAAGTGTTTGCATTCCACTATATCAATAATATAAGATAATATTGGTGAAAATATTGAATAAATCAATAATTGACGTGTGGACTTCTAATTACTCTGTGGAGGTGAAGAAAGTAAAACTATCTCAAAGCCATTTTTAGAAATTTCAAATGTTGCTGTTAGAATATTTTTATGAGTCTGTGTTTTTTGATTATGAAATAAGTTTTAAATAGAAGCAACAAATGCTGCTGCAAGTGCATGCATGTGTTTTGTTGTCCTATGGGATGTGTTTTGCATGTTAATACAAATCTAATGCTGCTTTCCTAAAGTCACTGCAGAAACGGAAAAGGCAGAGCTTCAGATTCGTGTTTGCAAGTCGTCCTGCTGTAAAACTGGAATGTAACAAATAAGACAAACTAAAACAAAACAGACTGTAAGAATAAAATGCTGGATTAACATGCAAACCTGCTGTTTTCCTCTGCGAGCTCTGTTATTAATTTGTACAGTTTGATCCGTTGTGTTGCCACTCAAAGCGATTGTTTTGTTTTTTACAATATTTTACAAAATCTGCAGATTTTATTTTTGGACTCATCAAAGTCTTAAGTTTCTTCTTTGTTTCTTTTGTTTTTTTGTTTTTGTTTTTTACATGAGAGCTCATCAGGATTTGTATGCAGTCTAGAAAATTATAGACATGTTTCACAGTTTTTTTTTTTGTTTGTTTTATTCACGAGTAAAAAAGTGGGTAAATAATCCAAATCTATCTGCCATAGAGTTGGATTTTCAGTCTTGTTAAAATAGACAGAGAATTCTGGTAATTGGAGTCTGGAAAAGTTGGCATAAAACAAATCCTTATATTTTCCACACTGCCTTTTGATAACCGCTCAGCCCTCTTCTTGCTTGCGTAGTATTTATTGTTGCATTGATCTCATTTTGTACAACGTCTTTGGTTACAAATTAATATGGTTCTGAGCCAGTCGACAATAAAAAAAACTATGTGTTCTTGCTGAGTGAAGTTAACCCTACCCAAAAGTTTTCGATCTTTAGAGATTATAAGGTCCTAACAGGGGGAAGTGCTTTGTTTGTATAAGGATGTATGCATTTCCTGGCAAAGCATGACTTGAAAATAGCCAAAAAAATTTCCTCTTCATCTAATTTTAGTTTCCTGACAGAATTGAAGCACATACCAGCAATTATTCAGATAGGCATGCACGCACACATTAAATCAAACAGTAAGTTGCTTAATGGTCTTAACTGTTTCAGTGAGTCGTGACTCTCAGTACCTGCACATGTGGGAATCATTGTCAGAAAAACAAATCCTGCTACATCTGCATTTGATGTAAACAAAAACTCCTGAAATAATGTCTGGGGAGGATTTGGAAAAATTAGTAAAATAACAAATGGAAAAAAAAAATAACTATTTTCAGCATCTTGGTGCACAGTAAGAGCATTCAGCAGAACTCAGCAACCAAGTTTCCACTGTAACTCTACACTGGTTTGTTTTTACCACTCTCTGAGCTTTGCATGATTATTACAAGTCTCTGTAACTTATTTGTATATACGTTAAGCAAAGCTGTAACCAAAGAGAACAAAATATTAACAGATTGTACAAGCATAACTAGTTGTTCTACCTATGCCTGCACATAACTCGTACAGGCATATTGTCACTTATAAGTGCAGCAGTTTGACTGTGCAAAGATCACACTGATGAGAGAGGTTGAAGTAGCAATTAGGCTGAAGCAGATGTGTTTGTTTAAATGTACTGGATGTGTGCAAGAACACAACTGTGTGTGCTTGCAATGGCTGCTTGCGAGCCTTAATTGTACACAGATGGGTGTTTACTGTAAGAAAGGGAGAGTTGAGGAGGAAGAGATGGACTCCATGTGTGGATGCACATGAGGATGTTCCATCTGCAGCTTCATGGCTTGACTTTGTATCTGATCAGAGAAAAAAAAGTTGGTGCTATTGAAGTTATGCAGAAATCCTTCTTTTCTTCCTCCATGCCAGTTGACTTTGCCTTTGCATAAACTTCATGTCTTGCAGTGGCTGTGACAGTGTGGATTTGCATATCTGGGTTAACCTTGCAGGTGGTGTAAGGAGGAGGAGGAGAGACTGAGAAAAAGTGTTCAGAGCTGAGGCACATTCCACATATCCATTTGGATGCATTAAAAGTTTTAAATGCATAGTTAACATTTAGGTTGTGGCTTACTAAACGGGACAGTATTCAACCACAAGTTAATTTTTGGTATTTCTGTCTCACTCACACACATACAACAGCCAGTAATTTTGCAAGGCCCCAATAAATGATGTCATCTAATAACTGCAGCTGTTTTTCTGTTGGTAAACCAGCCGTTTTCCCCCCAGTTTTAACAAATGTTTTATTTGTGCCTTTCAGCTATACTGCACATTGGAAGTTTTACAGTTAGTAATTTGACTGGCAGAGCCAGGAGAGGAAAATTGCACTTTACTGGCATCTTGATGAGCTCTTCTGCACATCAGCAAAGCTGACTCAATAGAATTAGTTTCCACAAGTCAAAAAGTAGTTGTTTGGAGCATTTTTTCTATGAGTACTGCTCTTATTAGATTTGTAGGCACATTATTAAAGCACCAGTTAATTCCACTGTTTAATAATGTGACAAATATGCCAATGACTTTTCATGGGTAACATATTTGGTAAACTAATGTGCAGTAAATTCAGGTTGTAATCATCTTTGTCTTATATTTAAGCAGTCTCTTTCATTTGTTCATGTCTTTTTAATGTGGTACACATTAAAGTTGTGTGTAAAGGCACTGTGTAGCATTTTTAGTTTCACCTTTGCTTCTCACACTTTAAATGGCTTTTAAAACTTACTTTGAAGGTGAGAGGATTTAGTTTGTTGCGGTTTGTAGTTTATGCCTGTGGAGTTTGGAATAGTCAAAGTGTATTGTTGTAGTTTTGGAAATATATCAGCTATAAAAAAAAACAAAAGAAAAACAACGTTGGCTTACAGTATTCTTGCAGTATCTGGGACAGCAGGAGACTTAAACCTGTGATTAGTTTAGCTAATGACTGTTTGACTTCTTGGATTCATTCATGTATAGAACATTGAAGTTGCAGCCCAAGATGATTGAGGGCTATTAATTGTGGATAAAGAAACAAGCGAGCAACGGCACAAAAAGACACTCGGTCAACAGAGTTGCACACTAAATTTTTCAAATTACTGCATGTATTGGAAGTAGCAGTATTTAAATTTGCACAGAATGTGCTTCATTCCTTCATGTATGGACCAATGTGAAATGATGGAAAACTGTGACAATAGCATAAGCTCTTAGCAGTAAGTAATACAGTTTGTTTAATGTCATTGGTGCTCCCAACAACTGTGGCTGACAAATGGAAGAATGCTCTCTCTTTTGGAAGAGTAGGGGCTTTGGCAGTAAATAAACTTAGTCATTATGTAACCTCTTAGTGTGTGAAACAGCTTTGGACAATATGAAACCCAGCATAAATTATGTCTCCTGTTTTAAAACTCTTATCTGCAGCCTCTGAGTCCATGTGTTTTTATATTTTTCTAGTTGTTTTTGTGAGACCTGCTCCACACACATCAAACTTTAGATTATGAAATAAGCAAATAAAAGTCACATATGTGTTTGTGAAATGGAGTGTGACGGTATAAAAGTGAAAACTGTCCATCACTGCTATATTTCTAGTTTTGGAACGGATAATCTTGAAGGAGGCAGAGTTTGTTTTCCTGCCCAAAGGCCAACACTACTGTAAACACACCACTCTCAATTCCCCAGCTAAAAAGAAGCACAGGAAATATTATAGATAATAGACCAGAGATGCTTATTTCCAAACGCAGAGACCCCCACTGTAATTGATATCTGCTGTGCATTTTAACGTACATTGAGAGATGGACTTCTGACGTTGGCAGCACTGCTTATTTTAGCTGTCATTGTGCCCTCTCCTAGACTGCAAGCCTTGGCTGAAAGGGTAAATGTTTTCATTTGTGTAAATAAAGGCTTCTTTTATGCCTGTGCAGAAAGGCTCTGTGACGGCTAAGCCAGGAGAAAATGGAAACAGATAAACAATATAAGAAGGCAAAGGAGATGTGTATGGTTTTCATTTGTGCCTATTGAAAAGAGTTGGTGACCCAGATAACTAACAGTTTCTATCTTCTCTCTCCGTTCCCTCCACAGTTCCGGAGATTTCTTTGTGATTCACCACTTGAGGTATGTATTTTCTTTAACTTGTTGACAGTTAAACAAAACCTTTTTCAAAATGTTTGTGTTTGTCCATATGTGTTATCTGGAAGGATTTGCTCCAAGATTACGGGCTTTTTATGGCCTTACAAATCTCAATTAAAAAACAGAAATATCCTAATGAAAACAACTGTTCACCAGTTTTCCTGCTCTACCACATATGTGCCCTTTGCTTGCTCTCTCCTGATGAGCCTTCAGCTGGATTGAGTGGGGTTAAGATATTCAAGAAGGGGGATTCTTTTGCATATTTGGGGGAAACTGAGAAATGTGGTCTCCAGATTGCACAAGTACTACTGCACTCAATTTGAGGACCCCAGAGTAGATTCTGTGAAATGTAGCTCCAATTTACTTCCTGAACTTAGCCTATTTGCAGATTTTTTTCATAGAGCATGTTTAAAGTATTTGAAAGAAAATGGAGCTTGAGGAGCTGAAATACCTTGCCAAAATGCAATGACACTTCACACACGTGTGGCTTGTGTTTGTAAAGCACCTAAGCCATTCATTTTTTGTGTTTCTCCTGATTGTCGGTATCCCCAAGAGCGGAGATAAGGAAGTCCATGAATGTTAGCTTCTGCTGTAGTGCCAAGGCATTTTCCACTGTCTATCTTAATGCATTTTAAGGTATATTTGTTGTTTGAACTATTAAAATAGGCTGTTATTAGTATTCTTATGTGTGGGTCTCAAGTATATGAGGGTTTTAGCCAAATATGTTATAGTTGGAAATACTAGCAGTCTACTGTAGTTGGCAAGAATATAATATTAATTTAGGGCTTTTGAAGACACATTTGAATGGTTCTTCTCCCTGTGTCTGTGGAATTAATATACCACAGACAACTTTAAGGACTTTAAAAAATTCGAACTGAATCTAAAACTTTGAGTTTATGATGAATTTTCTCTAATCCAAAGGGAAAAAGTATAAACACACCCTCAAATATACACACCCAACTCACGTACTTATATCAATATCATTTAGCAAGTTGCAGAGTAACCACACCCTACATTTGGTTTCTACATTTGAAAGTCTCACCTCAGTTCTTTCAAATATGCTTGTAATTGTGACCAAGAAGCTCAATATTTACACACCGAAAAGATCCCATGTCTGATTCCAAGGTGAATGTATGATTAAAGACTTACTCATTTTTAAAGGTAGCTATTTAGGTTATTAAAATAAAGGAAAATAACTAAAAGGCACTTAGTTTTAACCTTCTGTGTTTTCACTGCGGGGTATGAACACACCACAGACCCGGTGAGCTTCGTCATTCAGAAACACCAGTGGCCCTGTTGGGCCAGGACAATTACATCAACAATTAGACCCCAAGACGGGTACTTATTTGAGCCATTTTAATGGGTTTGACGTCCAGAAGCACATTCAAACAGACGGACACAAACACAGTCACTCCGTTTTGTCCCGTGTGGCCCCTCAGGTCTTCACTAATGAACATCATTAGTGTTTATAGGAAACAAGCTTTTATCACCTCGTCAAAGCTGGCGACCAGGCACTCTGAATTACACAGCTCAGCACACATACACATACGTGTTCACGCGGTGGCATGCTGCCCAACACATTTTTCTGCCTGGACTGTCTCCTCCCCTCCAAACGGCCATCTCCTTTTCATTTCGCCTCCTCTTGCACAACTTGGTTTTATTACTTTCGACGATCTCCTTCTCCGTCTCCTCCTGTTTCTCTCCAAGTGTTGAATTATCATGCATAAAAATCTGCACTGCTCTGCGTGTTGTTCTCCATCTGTCTCTAATCTGAGAGCTATTAGAGCACACACACATACACACAGACGCTCGCCACATGGACCTCCAAACCGTGTGGTTCAGCTCGCATGTAAACCTGCATCTCTAAAAGTGTTTGCAAAAACTGCACAGCTATAAATGCAGCTGCAGCTGCCTGACCTGTGTGTTTATTTGTTGCTGTGTTTCATTTATTCTGAATTGCAGAGGATTCATGGTAAAATCCAGGTAGAGTAGTTAACCGCACCTGGATCTTTCCTTCCTCTCTTTTCGCAGCACATTTACATTAGTGCCATGAGAGGAACAGTGGCAACTCTCAGATATAATGAGGAGTAGTCATGCTGAGTTTTGCGAAGCTGGAGGTGGCTTGAATTTTATAAGCTGGACTGAACTCAAACTTCTGCATTATGTGCTCCCTTTCTTAAGCTTTTTCTTAATTTGTCTGTCTGAGCACTTAGTACTATGGTTGGTAGATGATTCATCACATTCTCAGTGGTTTGTTCTGTGAGATCCTCTGTGTTTTTGTGGAACTTTTGTGGGGCCTGGCCTGAAACCCCAGTGAGAAATAAAAGAATTTACTGTATTTGAAGTAAGAAATTAGCTCCACAAGATCTTTGAAAAACATACAACCTACCCTGTATGAAAAAAAATAAAAATAAATATGGAAATATTTGCAAATTATGACCCTACTTTCTGGAACATAAAAATTCAAATAACTTAAAGTAAAATTTTGGTCTTATTGGTTTATGTTAAAGCTGTATGCTTTGACATACTCCATTGAATTTAAACATACAGCTTTTTGTGTATTTGAGAATTGAGTGAAATTTCATAGGAAGGCGATGGCCAGGCTGATTGTAAATAAAGATGAAGTCGATACTAAGCATTGTAACTGCACAGAGCTGAATTAAGTGCTATCACTATCAAAGTTTTTTAAATTAGTTTTGTTCACTAAATGTTACTTCAGAAACAATCAAAAGGTTGAAACCATCATGGTGTTCACCCACCTCTTCGCTCTCAGCTCTGCATGCTGCCCACATGTCCTTGTGTTTCAGCCATATGTGAGCGATTTGGGGCTACTGGGAAAGGTGGCAGGTGGTTTGAAGTGTTCAAGGGAATGTTGAGATTGTTGTCACAGTGGCAAGGACATGACCATTAAGCTGTCGTCTGAGGTGGCACGCAGGTCAGTCAGACGAGATCTGAAGTGGACGGTGCATGAGTATTCATAACATTCAGGCTCCGACAGGCGTGTGTACTCCAGGTGGGGTAAAACAAAACCGTTTGTGTTATTTTCCATTACTTAGAGCTTGTAAATGACCGAGTGGGGCCTCTGACAAAGACTCCAGTGTTTTTGCAGTAACTGGTGGATGGAAATAACAAGCTGCTCTATAAACAGATAGTTGTGTCTGACTCTGGTGTGAATGGTGTTATAAAGGTGATCAGACCCGTGTCTGATTTTGAGTGACCGGCTACATCTAAGAAAACCATCAGCCCTGCTGGGAGTGTGTATTTCAGGCTGTGTGCCTTGTTTCTGTTTGGTCAGGTTTAATTTGCTCAGAATGCGGCCCCAGCGGATCCCCGGATTACTCAGCCAGCTCTCTCTGTGTTGTGATAACTGGCAGTGTCTGCCGCTTAACTGCGTCCAGATGAATGTTGGCTCAGGAGCAGGATCCTGTTACTAGTGCACTGAAGAAAGACGCACACACATACATAAATACTCCAACTTAACATGACTTTTAACCCTAACCCCAAGCCTCTGGTCTTAAGCTGCAGGGATAAAAGCGCAAAAGTAGTTTGATTGAAAAACCCAGCATGCAGATTCTTATGAGAAACAGTGTGTCTGTGAAAAACGTAAGCGTTTTGTTAATAGGATAGACTCGAGCTCACGGGTGCACACCTACACCCACATTCTTCGGTGCCACATGGAATGAGCGAACGCAGATATATAGTAGAAAGCTTGGCAGCACGCCACAACCGCTTGGTGGAATGGGTCTTGCTCACGCAGGTTCTTTTATTAAAAAGTCCTCTCCTGGAGAGTTTCTGTGGTCAGTCCTTCACGTCACCCAGCCGCAACCCCTCCTTGCTCCAGCTTTCACTCCACATTTGGGAACCATTAGCAGGCTAAATGGGAGGCTACTGTACACACCCACTCATAATGCACAAGACTTGGCCGAGAAATACAGCAGTTATAATACACCATTATACAGATGTGTGAATATCCATTTAAGATTTACACTGGAGCTTTGTTTTTTAGATTTTGCTGCATTATAACCACAGAATTCAGTGTGTTTTGGTGGTTTTAATATAGTGAACATAGACAATCTCAGTACACATGCAGCTTGTGAATGGCATCATAAAGACCACACCAGGCAGGTCAGGTCAAGTTGTGGAAAATTCAAAGTAGGGTTAGGTTGTCAATATCCTAAGCCTTCAATATCTCAATGGGAAGATTATGGCTCAGCTGCAGACCTACAAATATGAGCAAAGAGAGCATCAACCAGAGAAGCAACCATGGTAACTTGGGAGGAGCTGCAGAGATTCACAGCTCAGAATGAATTATTTGTAACTTGACAGTTATCGTTACTATTTGCACATTCCTAAACAAGCCACTTTTGAAACATGGTGGCATTTTTATGCTATGTGGATGCTTTTCTTCAGCAAGAACCGACGGAGGTTCATTTTCTATCAGGTCAATGACTCTAATTATTTCCATTAATTTATTCCTTTCCTTTGTTCCTGTTTTTGTTATTATTATTTCTCCAGGCAGAACATTCTCCAGATGGACCGGAGATGGGATACGGCTCCTTCCACCAACAGTACTGGCTGGATGGACGCATCGTAGCCGTGGGAGTGATTGACATCTTGCCTACATGTGTGTCTTCTGTCTACCTCTACTACCACCCAGACTTTACATCGCTGTCTTTAGGGTCCTACTCTGCTCTCAGGTTAGTAATTCCTGGGCAACAGAGAGATATTTGCCTCCGGAGGAGAAACTAAACACCGGCCGTTGTAGACGATTAACTCCTTTTGTTGATCTCTCCACTGCATCTCAACTGAATTTTTTTCTTTCTGTATTTGATCTGTTGAACTGTTTCCCACATCATAGGCTCTGTTATGCTTTAGGTAAAACAAAAAAAAAAAAAAAAAGAGGCCCTTTCTTCAGAGTTGATTGGTTGCGGCAGTGCTCTGCTTGTGGTTCAGCTGACGACAGGTCTCTCCTCCAAGCTGAAATATAAGAATGCAATCACACCCTATAGGCACACACATCCTGCATTTCCTGTAAGATGTAATTCAATAATGTGAGAAAGACTTTTTTAAATATTTATCCTCAGAGGTCGAAGACATAGGTATGTGTGCGTCATTTTCAGGTGTTGCAGTGCGAGCTGTGGGTGTCTGGGTGTAGGTACAAATGTAATCTTGCACTAAATCAGCACAGCAGAGGTCAAAATATTTGCTGCTGCCTGAATAGAGGGAACTCCCTGGTCATCCTAAGCTCACAGTCTCCCATCACTTATTATTTTAAGAGCCTGAGTCTAAGAGTAACACAGACAGCTCTGTGTGGAGGAGGGAGCCAGCGGGACTGAAATCCTCCCCCTTGTTTACAGACACGAGAGTCTGAGCTTTTGATCTGCTCTGGACACTCGAGTCTGCTTGGCGTACAGACTGTGTCTACAACCTGCTGCACAGAATCTACATGTTCTCCAAAGCACTTTTTACTAATTAAAGTCTAATTAAGTATGTTCTGGAGGAAGCCCATGCGCACACACTCATTCTCTGTTAGCCCATTAGTGTACTGTACATTAGTGCTTCATCTGTACATTGCAGAGGTTGTTCTTCCTCTTTCTCTGTCACTAATTTTCTTTATTTTAGGGGTTTAACACTGATAATCCATCAGTTTAATAAAAGCCTCCATCTTTGGAGAAGCCATTGATCTGCTTCTCCGATCAATGGCTTCTCACACCCATTGATCTGCTGTGAGAAGATAATGGCTGTGACAGTGGCTGATTGTCCCTTCTGACAGTCAGCCACAGTGTCACATTCCCAGTCTAGTGGATGCATAAGAAGAGTGACTTGCTAAAGTATTCATACCACCTTGAACTTTTTGACATTACCACCAATTTGATTGTACTTCATGTGATAGACCAACAAAAAGTGGCAAAAAGGGAAAATAATTCTAGATTTGCAGTTCTTTGTATATACAAAACTGAAAAGTGTGGTGTGATTTTTACTATTCAGCCCCATGACTAAATATGCAGCATTAGGTTTTTCCACCCAATTTGGTATACATTTCAAATGTATACCAAGCACTTGAACTTTGGTCTCATCTGATCAGAGAAGGGCCTTCTTTATGTTTGTTGAGTCAAGTTAATGGCTTAAGGAAATTAAAACGTTTTTTTCTCGCCACTCTTCCACAGGGGTCAGATTTGTGAAATGTGTGTCTAATATTTAGTCCAGTGACAGATTCTTCACCTGAGCTATGGATCTCTGCAGCTGCTTCATAGTTACCATTGACTGTTTCTGTGTCTGATCCACTTCTTTCCCTCCTTTCAGATTAGGTGGATTTTCAGTAGTGCCATAGTCTTTTCCATTTTCACATGACAGGTTAGGAGTGCTCTGACTCTGAGAGATGTATTTACTAATAAGGTAACATCTTGAGGCAAGTAATATCAAGCTTTTGGGTAAAGAGGGTGAAAAACGTGTGTAAAACACCTTATAGTGCAGAATCTGTGCAGTCACAGTAATTCTTATCCAGCTGTTGTAATACTGTCTGACTCAGCATTTAAAAGTCGCTAAATGTGTTTGTAAAAGAAAATGCTTATTTATTCTGTAATTATATTCTGTATCAGCTGTGCTCTTGTTCATTTGATCTTTTGCATTTTTTTTTTACATGTAATTCAGTTGTGAAACAGAAGGGGGGGACACTGAGACCTTTCATGCATACAAGCTTTATATCCCAGGCTTAATGCATACAGAGAAGAGCAGAAACAAAAAGTCCCTTATTGAGGTTCTTGTGGCATGAAACAGTGCTGTATTTTAAAAGACATGGCATTTTAAAGCAAAATTCACATTTTAAAACTAAATTTAAAACGGCTTCCATTTGGGTAAAACAACTATGTGATATACTGACTCCAGTGTAATTACTGATATGTTTATAATAGCCTCTGTGTGCTTTCCAAGTTCTCTTTTCTCGCTTTATGATCCAGATTCAGCAAGCAGATAAATGATATTTCATAGTTTTCAGAAGGAAATGCTTTTGCATGCACTGCAGATCTGCAGCCAGCTCCTCGTGGTATGCACTGTTTTAGGCCCTTTGTGTGTATATGCACATCAGTATGAGGGAAGCTGTGTAGGAGCAGAGGCCTTGATAATTGGCTTGTGCTGGAGTGTCAGATGGCTGAAGAGGGGATAATGGCAGACTCAAGCTGCTGCCATGGGGCTGGAGGCGGGGGTGTGAAGGCCTCAAGTAAAGGGGGAAACATGGCTTTTTGTGAATGGGCGCCTCCCCTCTCTTGACCCCCCTCCTCTAATTCAGGCCTGCCGGGCCCTTTTGTAGTAAGAGGATGGGAACCCAGGAACCTGGCAGAAAGCGGGTGACCTTCTATCACCTCGCTCTCGCTGCCTCTCTTCTTCATCCCTTTCTCTTTCTTGACCCTCCTCTTTTATATTCTCCTCCTGCTCTCTCACTCCCTGTGTCTCCCCCTCCTTTCTCTCTGGCTTCCTTTGTCCCAAGTCTTATTTTTCAGTGCATCTATTTTATTTTAAGGCCTCGTTCTCTGTCTCTTAAGCATCATAAGAAAGGGAGCTCTCCCCCTTTCTTTCAGTGGGTGAAGCACAGAGCACTGGAAGGAAGAGAGAAACAAAAAAGGGAGCAAAAAGAGAAGCTTGAATTTAGGTATGGAAGAGGAGAAGAAATGGCTCAAGGAAAGGGGGAAAAGACTTTGAGTAAAAGGATGCAATTAAGGAGGAAGCTATTGTGGAAAAATAAAGCAGGCAAGACATTTACTGTATTTAAAAGTGGTGCATAAATCCTGCAGATTCTTAATCTTTATTCTACGCACTCTCTTCAGTTCCTTTTCTCCACCTGAGGGGTTAACGCTGGCGGAGGAAGGGCGGTTGTTTTTCCATGATGAGATGAGTCCAAGAAAAGCAATGGGTGTTTACTTCCTGAGCTTTGGTACTGGTCAAAGCTGCTAGAACCACTTTGGTTTTCTAATTTCTTCGATATACAAATGCTTCATAGATTAATTTTTAAGAAAATGTCATTTTTCTTTCTTAATAATTGGGGTACACTAAGGTGTAGAACAATTAAATGTATTTTTCTTGCTTCTCAAATGTACATAAAACAATAATGCAGTTATTCATACAGTTTTTTTTTTTTTTTTACTTTACCGGTTTATTTCTGGAGAGGCAAATGTGAAGTAGGGGTTATATCACACTTGAATATTTATAGCATGAGCTAATTTGCAGTTCATGTCCCTAGTTGGGCTTTTGGTTACATACAACGCAGCAAAATTTATACAAGGTTTAAAATGCAAATATAAACAGTAAAAACAGAACATTCATCAGGATTAATGCAAAGCAAGTTGGTATTAAATTGCCATGAAATTCAATAAGAGATGCTTGTGACTTTTCATGACTTAATATTTGGTCCTTTTTAAGAAACTGTTTCAGATTCAATCCAAATGGAGGCAGTAAAAGTTTTAATTTTACAAGTCCACCTGTTGTCCCAGACCGTTTGTACATAACGCCATCTTACAATTCTCACTTGATATTCCGTGTGTTGCTGAACCAGGAAGGCAGACCAAAAAGGTTCATGGAACAACTGAGGAACTTGTCATAAAAAACATTTAAAATAGTTTGAAATTTGAAAATTTAATGAAAATGTCAAAATTTGTTGACAGTGATGTGATTCAATAGGCTTCCTAACCAAGATCCAAATCTCTCAATTACATTTCATCTCTTGTAGCTTAATCGTTGCAGATGCTTCTTTTGAACAAGAGGTTCAACTGTATTTAAAGTGAGACAGAAATCAGTAAATACATGAACATGTGCAGGTAACATCATTTATATGTCAACTAAAAATACATGGAACAAGACCTGAGGTGTCCACCTCCATTTATTTTTCTGTTGTCTTGATATCATCTGTTAAAATTTTCAGGCACAAACATATATGTGGGCCATTTTAATTTCATTGAGAAAATATAAATATGCAAAAAATTAAACAACATTTTGTTTAACAAATTAAGATTAATCTCTGTGCAGCGTTTTCCTGCAAAACTGTTTTTACAAACTGTGTTTTTATGTCCCCCCTTTACAGGGAGATTGCTTTCACCAGGAAATTGCAGAAACAGTCCACCAAGCTGTGCTACTACTACCTGGGCTTCTACGTTCACTCCTGCCCCAAGATGCGCTACAAGGTATCTTACACTACTAACATGTACACAGTGTTTTCAGAAACTCAAAGCTCCTCAGCTCTGAATATGAATCCCTTAACTTGAGCAATTTGTTTCATTTTCTTATTTAACATCAATACAACAGCTATTTCTGTGACAAAAACAAACAAAAGAACAGCTGATGTCCATGTTCGAGGAGTATGAACCCATTTATAAAAACCGAAAAAGAAACTAATAGATTAAAATGGGTTGCTTTTTCTGTTACAGTTCCTGTAAAAAAATAATCACTCCCTTGGATGTCTCCCTTTTTATTGTTGTTACAAATTAATCACGATTAACAAAAATGTTTACTGAATAAATTAGAAATCACTTATATAATCTTATTTCATGTTGCATATGTTTATTTGTCATCATTTCTGTAGGAATCAGTTTCTACTTTGACATTAAAAGCCAGATTTTGTTGACCATTACTGATTTGTAAAAGCAATAAAAGGGTAAAATATCCAACAGGGTGAATTCATTTGAGGTGCAAAAGGGCTCAAAGAAGAGCCAATCCACACCACACAACTGTTTTGGGAAAATGGCTTTTTTGTACCAATCAACAGACTACTACAACCATGTTTCTCCTCTGAAGCTAACTGTTGTAGCTACGTATGTTAAATTGGGTTTTAGTTCCCAAAGAACTCTAATGGTGCGAGACTTTCAGCCAAATTTTCTGGGAAAATCCCAAAACCTGACTCAAAATTTCTGACATTGTCATTTAAAATCTGCAATCCATATTTGTGTTCAGGGAAGCATTGTTGTACATTATTCAGATAATCACTATTCATTCCTTTCGCTTTTATTCATTCACACCGTCCTCAGTTTCTACGTTGGATGTTCCCAGAGATTGTTCCTGGGAGACTGACGTGCTGTTGAAGATTATGGCAAACCGCCATATCTTTTTATCTTTCATCTTGCTTTGGGTTTGCTTCACGCGTTGCTCAATTTCTCAATTTGACAGTGTGTGCAAGGAATGCACATGAGTGTGTTGTGTTTGCGTCTGTGTGTTGAATCTTGATCACAATGTTTGTCTGAGAACTTGCGCTGTTACCACAGCACCTCACCCTCTCACACTGGCATTTACTACCCCTCCCCCATATCTTTTCTTGTGTGTTTGTCATTGCAGTGTCTAGCTCACAACCTCCCCACTTCTTCCTATTTTACTCTTGGGGAGGGAACACAGAACAAGGGTGAGAAGGTTGCCCATTTCCCACCTTTAGACTCTCGCAGTCCCACAGAAAAGCACCCACGCTCAAACATGCTCCCAGCAACATGCACAGTGTGTTGCTCCTCTGTCTGATTTGCATATATTCAGTTCATTAATGCACCGACATACTGGGACATTGTTTGACTCTTTTAAGACTTCTTTGGTGTTGTGTTGGAGGTTTACTGGTTTTGGGATCTCACGCTTGCTTCCAGTCTCTTTAGTGGCCAAGTTATAAGCACTTGAACCCTAGTGGGCACCACTCAACCTATTCCAACACCATTCCACTACTTGTGGGTCCCTCTTGTTTCAGTCATGGCTGTTTTTATACTTCCGACATTTCTGGAAGAAGATAGTTGTAAAGAAATGTTTGGATTAAAGTGCTTTATATAAGGAAAACATCAATAGTGCACAAAAGAAAAACAGTTTGAACAAAAGGTTATAATAGTGACTCTTTGCTAGACGAGTGAACAATAATTCCTGTTTTTCTGAAATGCTTGAACCTTGGACTGACCATCTTCTTAATGTTGTGTTTGTGGAGTTTCTACAGCGTGCCAAGATGTCCTAAAATTCTAAAATTTGAGCAGATTTTAAATACTACAGGTTTCCTTTGAAGGACGAGGTTCACATTTCATCTTTCATTTACCATGTTTTAATAAGTATGGACAAAAGAAGAGAAAGTTTAATTTAGAAACATGTTGATGACTTTCCAGACTTGAATCCTTCTTCTGTTGTTCTTCTCTAACTAGTGGAAAGGTCTGCAATCTGTGGACTTTAGGCCCTACCCTGTGGGTCAAAATAACTCTGGCCAAAAAAGTTAAAGAATTTAACAATATTTTTAAATATCTGCATGGTTTTAAAATGCTTGCATTAGCAGTGTTTTCCTGTTATTTTCATGCATATATGCATTACATTTTTGCAAAAAATGAAACCAATAGCGTATGAGGAATATTCATTTTTCTCTTAACAGGTTACAAACCTTGTGCTTTTTTTTTCTAGTATTATTTTCTATAAAAAAAAATAATGTCCCATTGAAGAAAATGTATTAAATCTAAAAACAGAAAAATAAAATGCTTTAGTTGCTAGATTGTATCTTGAAAATCATTATTTGGAAACATGTATCCCTATTTAAAATATTGAAAATCAAAAATATTTTTGTTACTGTGAGGAATGAAACGTTTGTGTGGGAGGTTTTCTTCTCTTTTTTTGGCACCTTTCAATATCTAGAAACAGTTTTACACATTCTTCATTATACCTTAACCACTAGAACAGAGACTCTTTCTGATCAGGACATTTCATACTTCTCAAGGCCTCCTCATAGATCCCATCTACTGCGGCATAATTATTAGATACCACACAAGAGGAAAGTCCTTCAGGTTCCTGTAGACACATAATTTTTGTCCAAAAGAAGCTGCAAAAGCTCCCAAACCAGAGCTGCAAGAACAGAATGATCTTATGTTATTCTTGCAACCGTGGGAGAGAAAACACATTTCTTACAAAGTACATATTGGAGTGTAATCATCAAAAATAGTCCAGCAACTTGCATATTTTGAGTCTGGTGTGCATAAAGTCTTCGATACTAAAAGCTTTCTTGCCCAGTCTCTTATCCCACTATATCTGTTATATGTCTGCATACTTTCTGTCTGCGTGATTGTGCTACCCATTTAAAGTTAAAAATCTCAATTTCTGTTATTGTTACTCTTGAGCTGTAAATTTGGAGGAGAATCCTTTCGGCTGGGTTGTGTGACCAGGGAGACGGCCCCAGGCGAGATGATCTTGTAAGCACTGCCAACGGCAGGACGTGGTCCTGTAGGGAAGCCTTAAAGGGCCCTCGGAAGACTTGAAGTACAGCCAGAAGCTGGGAGGACGCCTGGCTGGTGTCAGACACTCTCCTTTGTTCCTAAAGCTGGGACTGAACGTCCCACAGAGTCTCACTGGTTTGGCTGGCGGTTCAGGGTTTGACGTGACATTCTGCCCCTGGCTTCTGTCCCTGGGCCATTTGCCCTCCCTGGCCTTCGGATGTTGAGCTGCCTGTGAGGAGCAGAAGGTGAAACTGTTGGAGTCTAAATGAGTGCAGAGGTCTTGGCCCTTTGGTCATTTTTCTTTCACATGAAGCCTCACATGTTAAAGCTAACAGTGAGTCTTATGGCTTTACACAGACAGAGACCTCATCGCCTTGAATTCTCTGGACTTATCTCAGCCCTTCATGTTACTATAGATATTTCTATATGTACAGATCATGACCAAATGCAAGCTGAGTCTGAAAGTGTAAGTGATAAGTATGCAAACCTTTCTTTATTGGATATTTATGGACTAGAAAGTATTTTCCATACGGGGAATTTCTGGATTTTGCTCATTTTTAAGGTGTTTAAAGTTGTTGAGGTCGGCTTTGTAATTTATTCATATATATATATAATCTTAACTCGTACAGCACTTTCATTTGCACAACAATTTAGTCTTTCTATAAAAACAATTATAATCATTGTGCTTTAATATTTTTTAGAAATTATTTAATTGTAAGTAATTAAATAATCATTGAATGATTGAACTTGAATAATTAAATAATTATAATTAAGAAATATTTTAACAGTATTTGTTCTCTATCATTATGGCTGTTAATATGATATTCATTTGGGTTTCTAATGAATATCATTCTTTCTCCTGGAGTGTAGAAAAAAGAAAACGGATAAAAACATGGCAAAAACACTAGTTTACATGCAGTTACTCACTATGTCGCACATCTTCAGTGAAATTGAAAATCAAGAATTGGTTGCAGTTGTTTATATTCATGGTGGATTTCTTATGCAAAGTGTCATAAATTATTCACACATGCTTATATGTATGCATACATCCTCACTAATTTTGGTGTAAGCCTCTCTTAGCAAGTTGCTCTTCAACCAACATTTTGCAGTCATCAATAAGCTTCTTGCATAATGTGGCTGAATGTTGGACCACTGTTACTGACAGGTTTGTTACAACTTATATAAATCTGCTGATTGACTCAGCGTTTAAGGGTATCCTACATTTTTTTTAGTATAAAGTAGCTAATTCAATCAGGTATTTCCAAAAACTAAATCTTGGTGTGGTTTATTTATTAAAACATGTTTGATGTGTTATGGGGACCATTATCTGCTGGAACACCCAGTTTTCCATTCAAACATTCTTAAACTATAATTTCATTATGCAAATCCAATTTATGTTGATTTATTTTTAAAAAAAGAGCTTTTACTTTGAAGGCATTGTCTTTTGTTTCCTGTTTCATAAGCTATGAAAGCACCAATTCTGATAAACATGCCTAGTCCGCCCAGAAGATTTCTCCCCAGAAAGAACTTTCTTGTCATGGCAGATGCTAATTTCTGATGAGCTTATAGATGTTTTATTTCATCATTTGGTCAACATCCTGTCAGTTTATGGTGACTTGAAACCAGTGTTGTCGCTCTGCCCACATGCATAAGAGTGTAGGCTACCAAGTGAAGGGGACACGCGCAAAAGAACAGGCTCATAAAAAAATATAATTACTCATAATAATATTAAAATAATGAAATGCTTCATATGTTATTTAAATAAAAACATATGAAGCATTTCAGTCGATAACTATAAATGATCACGCTCTCTCTCTTCCCCTCTCTCCATCCATCCATCACTCTGTTGTCCTCTGCACAGTGTTTTGCGCTGAGACTGCGTTCAGGGCAGCTGTGTGCGACTCATTTTAGGCAGCAGCTGGGACTGAGAGAAGCGGGATGAATCTACATTATTTTACTATTGTAGACAGATCCAA